GGAAGACGAAGACAAAGATGAAGAGGAAATAAAACAAGTTTAGTGTTCAATCATTTGTCCACACTTGCAAACCTGTATCTGTTGTTCTGAGTAACAGATTTTAAAATAGGAGTACATGAGATATTTTAAAAGAGGAGTACATAACAGAGTACATAAATAGGTTTTCTTCTTTGTGATAAGAATTTCTAAGGATTTACTTATTAGGTTTGTACCATTGTAGAGCCAGCCTTTTCATTCATTAATTCTTTGAATAGATTTATCAGTCTCAATTTTATTGGTTTGTGCTCTGATTTCCTTGTTTTCTGTTATACACACAATTTGGATTTGGACTTTTCCTGTTCTTTAAGTATATTCAGGTGGAACTCTAGGTCTTTTATTTGGTCTTGCTCTGTTTTTCTGATTGGAGCATGTTCAACAGAAAACATATTTAGGGCTCGTGTTATTTGGGCCTTTTATTTCAGGTATGTTGCATTGGCATTAATTTTGCCTCATAGATAGTGGTTACATTCATCTTTGATTTCTTCTACAACACACTGATTATTCAAGTGTTATTTTTAGTTTTCATGTATGACAATAATTGGTCTGGTTTTGCTTATTTTTTTAGTTTCAAGGTGCTGTTTCTTATGATAAAGATAATTGCACTTACTTTGTATTTACTTAAGTGTATTTTATTGGCTTGTATGTGGGGAATATCAGAGAAATCTGCATGTGTACTGAGAAGAATTCATGTTCTGATATTTTAGGGGGAGCACTGGGTAGACAACTATAAAGTACCTATGTTGAAATGTTTTTTTTTTTCAACTGTGCTCTTTATGTGACTTTTCTTTCTACTTGATCTATTTGTGAAAGGGGGTTGATGAGGTGAATGACATCCTTATATCCCCACTTTGTTTTTCTGATGCTTAATGTTTTGCAGTATTTTTTGTTGAAGGAAGTTGACTGTGCCAGTATTTGTGCAGATATAATTACAATCATGGACATTTTGTGTCATTTAATAAATATGCCCCTTAATAAATTCATCCCTTAACAAATACCTAATTACCATTTTTCTTCCGAATTTTTTTTTTGCCAGGGAATCCACTTTATCTCACTGTGAGATAATTCCCTATGTTTTAAGAGAGTTCCTATCTCATGAAGTGCTGCTTTCCTGCATTTCAATTTTAGTTTACTAATTTCTAATTTTGTAACATATTTTCCTTGTGTATGTCACACACTTAGGTTTT